GCCCCCCGACCCGCTCTCCGCGCCCAGGTGGGCCCAGGTAATCGCGCGGCCCCTGCGCCGCCCGCGCCTGGATCCTCGCGAGGCGCCCGGCCAGCTGCGCGGGCTCGCGTCACGCGGGGACGAGTTCCCGAGGGGCCGCAAGGTGCTCTTCGGTCTCTTCCTCTCTGGGGAGAAAGGATTCCTTCCGGAGGGGGTTGCCGGCCTGGCGCGTTCTGCCCGGCTCCGCTGTGGGGGCGAGGACCGGCCGCCGGAGCCGGAGCGGAAAATGGGGACCCTGGCTCCCCGACAAGGCCCCCCAGCCCCGGAGCTGAGCAAATGCCTCGACCTCCCCGGGCTTCCTTCCTGCCCTGGCGTGGGGGACACTGATCCTGGTCACCCGGGGTTGTGCTGAAAAATCTCGTGGGCTGGGGCAAGTGCTTTGGCCACTAAAGTATCGTTAGATGAGGGGTCAGGTCTCCTGCAGCTTTGTTCTAAAGAGGGGGCCGGAGGGGCTTCCCGCTTCCTGTCCCCCAAGGTGAACGTGAGTGCCCCCTGCTGGCCATCCTGGTAGATGCGCTCGGGATGGAGACCCAGGGAGGCGGGTCCCTGCAGTTTAGGGTGGGCCTGGCCTGGCCTGCCCCACTCGGGCGATACCTGCTTGGGTGCTGTCTCCATTTCTGCAACAGATGGCCCGCAGGGGCAGGGCTCCGCAGCAAGGCCAGGGCCGCGGGCCTCTGACGGAAGCACGCTGGGCTCCTAGACCCTAGGAGTGGCGGGCCTCCCACACAGTGTCACATTTCGGGGACGAAGTGACACCTTGTAAGTTGTGTAGGTCCAGTTTTGCGTCTGCCTCTGGGTCTGAGGCTTTTGGAGCAAATGGCCACTCCCTGAGCCTCTGTCCCCCCGGCTGGGCAGTAGTGGCCAAGGCTGGGGGCTGGGCAGCTGTACTTCCCAGCACTGGCCTTGAACGAGGCGGCTGCAGGGGTAAGAGCGGGTGGGGCCCTGGCACCGTTGGCATCTGCTGCCCTGTGGCTGGCGGCCCTCTCCTGACTCCCCAGCCCTGCTGTGCTCACGAGCCTAGCTTTCTTTCTCTGGGATGCCCGGCTCACCAGCCTGGCAGCCTCCAGAGCTGTGCTTCCCTCTGCCCCAGCGCTTGATACACACAGATTGATCGTGGTAGCCCTCGGTGGCCCCAGGTCCTCCTGTCGTAGCATCCAGGCAGCTCTTCCGGTTAGCCGGGTCACCTGGTTGCCTTCTCAGCCTGTCCCGCTCTCCTAGATGAACAAGGTGCCATCCTTCGTTCCGGGGCGCACAGCGTCTGCTTCGTGGAGATCAGGTTATGCATGAGAAAATAGCGAGGCAGGACTCTGTCGGCAAATATTGACCGAGTGCTGGCTGTGTGCGGTGAGTCATCAGGACAAACATGCATAAGGAGGAGGAGGGCGGCTTTGCAGGCTCAGGAGCCAGTAAGTGCAAAGGCCCTGGGCTGGGTGCATTTGGAAAGGGGCAGGGAGGCTGCTGAGGCTGCAGGCGAGTTCGCACGGTGCTCAGGACTGACCCTCCATGCAGCAGAAACAAGACCGAGGTCAGAACAGAGCCCAAAGCTGCCCAGCCTGGCAGACAGGTTCTTCTCAGACAGTCTCTGCCTGGGCGTTTGCTACAGGTGTAAGAAAGAACTCGTCCTCTGGTGCAGACGTCGGGAGGTGGCGCTGTGCAGGTGATTGATGCCCCTGTTAGCACCCCATTTCCGCCCATTCCTAAGACTCCTCTGGGCCTCCCGGCCTCCAGCGTTCTGGTCAGCTCCCGCATTTGAGTCTGGGACCCGCCTGCCAGCCGGTCTCTGTCACTAGCTGTGTGGGTTTGGAAACATAACTTCCTCTGTCTTTGGAGCTGGGCTTGCAGTAGGACCTACTTCGCAGGGTTGTGGTGTAATTAATTTTTGATTGATTAATTGATTCATATATTGCAAATATTCTTCTTCCCCTTCCTAGTAACCGGTGCTTTCAGGTTTCTTTGTTTGTTGGTACCGGGACTCAAACTCAGGACCTTGTGCTTGCCAGGCAGGTGCTTATGCCACTGAGCTATATCCCCGGCACTTTCTCGTTTTTTCTAAACTAGTACTGCAGATATGTACAGCAAGTGAAGTGCCTGAGGTGATGCCAGAGAGAAAAGGAGGGGTCTGTAAAGGGTGCCGTCTATGGCACACCACCCTGAGCGCGCTGGGTCTCGTCGGTGGAGGGTGTCTTTCTTTCTTCTGTCCTGCTGGGCGTTGAGCCTGGGGTGTCCTGCACCCAGAGCATGCACTCTGCCACTGAGCTGCACCTCTAGGCCAGGAACGCGTCGGGACGGAAGTGAGCACCTTGGACGGCACCCGCTCCCATGCCCGGGGAGGTGGGGCCAGGGGAGGAATGCTTGGGAGCCGCTCCTGCCTCTGCTCACAGAGCCCTGACCAGGAGAGCGGCGTCTCACTGTTCGGCACATGGGACAGTGGCAGAGGAGCTGGAGGGTCCGCCAGGGGGGAAAGGCTGGGCCCCGCTATGAAGGCGGAGCCTTTGGAATGAGCTACATCCCCACTCATCCATTCATTCATTTAAGATGGAGTCTCACTGTGTAGTTCAGGCTGCTCTTGAACCTACTCTGTGGCCCAGGTGGCCTCAAACTTGCAGCGATCCTCCTGCCTCAGCCTCCCCAGTGCTGGAATTTCAGGTGTGCACCACTGTGCCTGGCTTCCTTTGGAATCACTCCTGAGCCGGGGCTGGATTTTGACGTCAGGCCTGTTTTCTTGTCTTGGAATAAGCTGTGTTCTGTCGAGCTCTCACCATGTGCCCGGCGCTGCAGGCAGCCTTGGCAAAACGTCACCCCTTTACTCCCTGTGGTCCAGCTCGGAGGCCCCTGCAGTGGAGCCCGTGTTCCCCCAGGTGGGTTGGGACCCTTCGCACGAGCGTGGCCGTGGCAGACCCGGCTCGGCTGCATGGTGCCACTCAGCCTGTGGCCGCCATTGTCACTGCTGCTGAGCTGGGGGTGCCAGCAGTGTGAGGGGAACCGCAGTGGGCGTGACAGTCCCCCGAGGACCGCAGGCCGCAGGGTTGGTGGGGTCAGCGTTGTCGTTGTCTTAGATCTGTACAGACTCAGAGCTCGAGGACATGCTTGTGTCATTCGCCTGCCTGTGGGTCCGGGGTCCTCGCCGGGGAAGGGACTGCAGCCCGGGTCTCTCAGCAAGGCAGGTGCCTCCTCCAGGACCGCAGGGACAGTGTCCAGCCCCGGAGAGGGCCCTCCCGTGCCAGGGTGACATCGCCCTGTGCTGCGGCTGGTGGTTAGGTGGTGACAGGCCCCGCCCCCGTGCAAGGAGGGGAGGGCCCTGGAAACCCGGGAGGCAGTGACCCGGGCTCTGTGCGCTGGCTATTTGTCAGAGCAGCAGCGGCGGCGGCAGCCTGTGAGGACAGGGACAGCGGCCTGGAGGGGGTGGCAATCTCTGTCCTGTGGTCAGTGGGCCCCAGGGATTGTAGAAAAGACCATGGAGTCGGGCGTCTTGAGGCAAAGTCAGCCTCACATGCTCATGTATCCCGTCATTCATTCATTCATGCATTCCTGGGTCACAGCTGTCAGTACTGTGCCGGGTACTGACGTCTCAAGGCCACGCGCCCTGTGTCCAGGGCAGAGTGAGGGCAGGAGAGGGTGGGACAGTGTCTGCGACTTCAGGGTGACTCCTCTCCCCGGAGGTGTGGGAATCACTCGAGTTCAGCGCAGGACCAGTGGGCACAGGGAACGGCGAGGAGCGTCCAGAGGAGAGAGGGCAGGCGCACAGGCAGCCCCTAGGGGCTCGTTATGCTGTGGGGTTGGGCGGGGGTGAAGTGGCAGCTGCTGTGCCCCACCTCATTGGGAAATGGGAGGACAAGGTGTCGCCTCTTGTGGGTGGTTTGTCTTCCGGGTACAAAGTACCTCTAGCTGAGACACTGTGGACGCCAGGCAGACAGATTCCCAGGAAACCCTGAGTCTTTGTTTGTTGTTGGTTTTTGTTTGTAACTCAAGCTGGCTTTAAACTTGGAGCAATCCTTGTGCCTCAGCCTCCTGAATGCTGG